CATAATAAAATTATTAGAATCCAAATTACTAAATTACAAATTTGTAATAACTAAATATTATAATTGAAACTTAAAAATAAAACCTAAAATACGTCCGAGATATTGTTCACTTAAAAAATTTTGTTCGTCATGATTTTATTCTTAAAAAATATTTCGATGGATTAAGAGATGACGATGTATATAAATTATCGAAGGTGGACTCGTGAACATAATGAGATAGACATTTTTTTTAGGTAATTGTTAATGATACGCTATGATATTTGTCAACTTAAATTGATTTTTAAATCCTGAATAGTTTTGAACTTGATTATAATGCACACAAAACAACTCTTCTCGCAAAATCGAAATAAGAGGGTAGAAGTTATAGAAATGGATTAAAATAGACATGAACAATTAATGAGACAGTTTAAGCATAATTTGTTGGCAAGACAGGACAATGTAGTACTATTGTTTTAATAAAATAGAGATGGAGGTGCTTGATGGTGAAGGATATAATTATAATGTATGAAGCAGGTACATGTCTTTTCTATTATGTATAATAAAAGGAGAAAATAATCCATGAATTCATTTTAAATTGCAACTAGCAAACAAATACAACTACTTGTGTTGTTAAGTAATTGAAAACTAATTTAATTATTTTAGAATTTAATGATTATTAACTTTTATTTGTTGTGATTTAATCTATAATAACTATCTCGTGCCCAAACATTAGGAGGACCCAATAAAGCAAGAGCAGATCAAGGTCAATAGAAGTAGGAAAGTTACCTACACTTTATTACAATGAACCATAGGTTGACCATCACTAAAATTATCCCAACGTTATATCATAATAACATATAATTGCTCACAAAAGTTTTTAAGTTCTATGCCGAGGATATTGACCCACTTTTGATGTCGATAAACTACAGCGTAATGTCATTGTAAAAGAAGTCCTTTAATATATACATGACATTTTTGCTAACATGATTGTCAAGGATTTTTTTCAAGTGTTAAAACATTTTAAACAAATTAGTCTATGCCAATATAATTATTTCTTAAGAATAATATGAGATACTTAAAATTCTTATAAGTAGAACATGTTCAATTATATAAAAGAATATGATATCATTTTTAATACAAAACCTTAAAATAATATATTATAAATCTGTGTTACTTATAAGTTATGTAACTATTTTATGTCTATCTAATATGAGATTTCATCTCATACTTAGATTTTCTCAATTGTGCTTTTTTTCATATTAGTTCACCGTCCCTTTTAAGTGAAAACATTTTTTACCCATGAGTACTATTATAGTGACCTTACTTATATCTCCATCTAATTCAATAAAATTTCTTTGTATGAAACTCTTGTCAGAAATGCTTTCGTCACAAGGATCCAAAAACTAAGATTTGTCACCTATTCCAATCATACTCGACTAAGTCAATTACCACACAAATAATTGGTTTGGATACCACTATTGAGTATTTTTGAGGAGGTTAACACAGAGAGATTCTCATAAATAAAACGGTTAACCATATAAAAAAATATGACATTACATTTAACCTAAAAACTTAAATAATTCAGTTATGTATATTTCTCATTTATAAGTTATGCAACTTTTTTTTTTTTACTCAACATAATATTTCAACTGACACTTATGCTCCTAAAAACAATCTCACTTGAGTCTTCGCTCTTTAGACATGTCCATTTAAATTAGTCTATACTTTAAACATATAAACAATCCATATCTCTAACATATTACCGTTCATATCTAGCTCACTTGTATTTTTTAAGTAAACAACCCATTCACTTTGGTGTTACTATATTATAAAATACTTCCAACCCATTCACTTTGGAGTTATTATACTATAGAACACTTGTGGCATTATTCTTGGATAGAATTTGCTATACTTTCTCTTTTGTGGAACCTCCCATATAAATTTTAATATTTATTTAAATGCATAAGGTAAAGTTAAATTATACATAAATTAAAAATAAAAATTTGAAATAAATTAAGTAAGAGTTTTTTACAAACTAATGTATGCATAAAGTATTTTTAATTTAGATAAATATTATTTCATTTTTATGTATTTTTATTCTAAAAGTCACGAAAAAGCTCCTTGAAGTAGCCCTACAAACTATTATTAACATAAAATGGTTTGTTGGTCTTATTGATTCTTGTTACTCGAACATTTGAAAAAGTAAATGATTGTCAACTTGTAGAGATAGGTCAGAAGACTTAGTCTTTGTTTGTACTGGAATTAGAACTATAAGTTGAAGCACGGCAAAGAAGAAACTTATGCAAGGAAACCAAACGAGTCAAAGTAGCATCACTCAAACTCATTTTCTTAATTTATATGACCACGTACGAAATTTTCTGATCACCAAGACTCATCTTAATTCCTTCAACATTTTTCTTAGTCAACGAAGAAATTTCAATTCAACTGATTAGATCGTACGTGTGAATATTTTTTGGTATATGCATTCAAGAATAAAAATTTATTTAACTTTTGCATTAATATCATATGTATTTGAAATACAATCCTCACAACTTTTGGTATATACCATTTGTTCCGATATGCTGACGACACATCATTTAAGAATAGATAAAATCAATAATATTTTAAATACATTATCTTCTCTTAATTTATTGAGACGTCTTTTAAGAACAAAATTATAACGGATAAGAACTTGCAAACAATACCTCAGACATGATCATAGTCTCAAACATGAAGTCGGACACTCTCAATTAATCGAAGCACAATTTATTTTGACTTAGTTCATAACTATGAAACTAGTTTAATATTTTCTCCATAACTATTAAGCAAAATATCTAATATAATAGAGACAATTTTGATGAATTTAGAGTAGATTATGTCCTTATTTCACTTTGTCCTACAATATTGACCCAGTCAAAATGTTTCTCCTTTATATATAGTAGTGTTTTATATTACAGATAGTTTCAATAAGCCTTCCAAACAACTTTGAGCAATTTGAGTTATATTTAAATTAACACAAAAGGTATTCCATTTGTTGTTTCAAAATATGCTACATCAGTAGAAAAATTTGTTTCTAAATATATTATGTTTGTAAAGTTTAAGATTGTATTAATTATTTTTTATCAATTATACTCATGTCTTTTAATTATGAGAAAAAAAAGTTATTTAAAGCCTCGTAAATAGGAGGAAAGAAAAAAAATAAAGTAGAAATATATTTATTAGTTTGAGGGAAAGTATTATGAAAGTAAATAAAAATTGTTATATAATTAGAATTTAATATTTGTTCAATTACAAAATAATTTATATAATTATTTTTAAATTGTTAGAATATTTATTAATAAGATTAAAATTTTGTAAAATGACATCTCTATTTCACTTTCTATTTTTCTACGTTAATATAGGAGATGAAAGTAAACATGTTCGTTATTGTAAAAGGTGACATTTTTTTTTCACTTTTCTTTCTATAGAATAAGAAAAATTGTTACTTTTTGTTTATTTTTTTTATATTTATCACTTTTTATTTTACACTTTCCGTGCAAACGATTAAAACTTAATAATATTTTGATGGAAAGAGAATATTAAGATTAATAAGATATTAATTAAAAATTACTAATCAATTTATTGAAAATAATAAAAATTAATATTAATAACCTAAACATAAACCTAATATACTTTGAATCGAATGAGTATATATTGTGGTCATTAGGATATTTATCTTTATTTTTTTGTCACAGCCTAAAATAGGGTGAAACATGTTTTTAGTGACAAGAAAAATATTATATATGTTTTTAGTAGCTACATTTATCATAAACGATATGGTTTAACATTTTCACTAGGGATTAAAAAAAACATATACATTTTTTTTGTTAAAATGTAAATGTTAAAAATATAAAAATTATGTTTGTAACCAATGTTTTGTAACACTCAAACATACTATTTTGTTATAGACAAAATCAATTTTTTATATTGATCTTGTTAAAATAGGCAAGCGTTCAAAATTAATTAATGAGGAAGAGAAAGTGATAAAATAAAAAGGATAATGATCACTCTACAATTACATAAATTTTATGAAACTATTTTATTATAAAAATATAATTTTTAAAACTAATTTATCCATGAGAAGAAACTATTCTATCATAAAAATATGATATTAGTATTATTGTTCATTTATCCAACAAAGAAACACGAAACAACTTTCCCAATAGTTGCATTATCGTCCTTCTTCATCTATTAAAGTTGTGGTCTTTAATTTCATACTAAAAAAAAAAAAATTAAACTACGTACATACATCAAACATTTTTTTTTTCAAATAAAAATTTTAAAATTGATTTTATAATATAGTATAAGTTTAGAATTTAAGATTTATATTTTTATTGTTTATTTTTTTATGATATAACATAATGATTAGGATAAATTATTATTTATTTTTAATAAATAAAATAGGAAGATGAAAACTCTCTCTCTAGTCTTGATTCTTAAATAACCCTATGTATTAAATGTTGTGTAGAATGAAAGGAAGTATATTAAAAAAAGACAACACAGTGGTGGATCTCTCTGAGGAGATTGCAGACAGATTTTTTGAGTTAAGTCAGTACCACAGTGTCCACCCCAACCCACCTCTCATCTCATATAATGTAAGACAATAGAGGTCCCACATCGGTAACTTTCAAACTCATGGCTGCTACTACTTTGCTTCTCACAAAGAAAATGCAGAAATAAGGGAACTTGTGAGAACTATTATTCATTCTGGTGTCTCTTCTTTGACTCCGTTAGAAAACCAAACACAAAACAACACACCAAAAAGGTTAGAGTACCCACCACTTCATCTTCCACACAAAAACCTCCCTCAAGCAATCCCTATCTAAAATCCCAAGATAGTAGACTCATGTGACTCTCAATTCCTTGCTTAAATATGGGATCACTTGCATGACCCTCTTCATTCATTCATATCCACTCTTTTCTCTTCTCTATATTGTTCTTTTCCTAAGGGTTTTGGGTAATATTTTGTGCTTTGTGTTCCAATGGAACAGGGTCAATGTTGGACAAAACGGAAGTACTCTTTGAGCTCGAGTCTTAGTTCACCAACCAATCCTTCCTATGGTGACTCATGGGAAGAACAAGCTTTTGCAGAAGATGCTGCTAATTCTCTTGGTGGCTGCATATGGCCTCCAAGATCATACTCTTGTAGCTTTTGCAGAAGAGAGTTTAGGTCAGCACAGGCTCTAGGTGGCCACATGAATGTTCATAGAAGGGATAGAGCAAGACTAAAGCAACAACCCTCTAGCCCCCACAATGAAATTCTATGTCATGACCTTGAAACTCAACTCCATAAGCCAGTTCAAAGTCCTTTTTCTTCTTTGGGTGGTTACCTATACCCTTCTCCTGTTTGTGGTTTGGCTTATAAAAAAACTAACCCTAATTCTTATCCTGATTTTGTTGCGTCACCTTCTTCTTCTCCCTCACCTTCCAAGTTCTTATTGGCTCCATCAGTTAATAGTGGTAACTCCAAGGAGGAAACCATAATTCCACTTTATGATTCCTCTATTCTCCACAAGATTTCTTCTGTCTGTAATTCTTCTGTATCATGGTCAAATTTAGCTGAAGATCATAGATTATATTCATACAAGTTCCACCCTCAAGCTGATACTAAGAATCCCTCCAAGGGAATAATGGATTCTAGATGTAGGGATGATAAGGGGGATAATGATGATATTGACGGGGATATGAGCTTGAATTCATTTGTCTATAGAACTCACCCATCTATGCAGTTTGAGAGTACTAAAGAGGCAGATCATACCAGTTGCAAGAAGAGGAAAACAGATGCTTCCTCAACACTATTTTGCCCAAAGTCAAGCTCAGTTGATAGACATCATGTTCAGCCAAAGATGTTTGAACTTAGCCCTAGCTCACTGGAAGAGCTAGATCTGGAGTTAAGGCTTGGTAACAGGTCCAAGGTATAGCAATTAGCATAAAAAGAAAACCACCCACTGTTAATGAATATAAATTTCTTCTCTTTTTATGTTCATCCTAGTTTATTTTCACTTCTTTTAATACCTCACAATTAAGGAAGCTTTTCATCATGTTTGATTGGATCTCCTGAGTGCCTCTGAATACATATCTGCAAAGTGTCAAGATAACATTGCTGCAATATATTGACAGGCTTGTAAACTTCCTCTAAGTAGATAGTGTGGCCAAATGGTGGATTGTTTTGAATAAATGCAGATTACATGACTTGTAATTTTGATGGTTCCATCGATTTTTCCTATGATATTATAAATATTTAATATGACAATCATTTATCTGGCCACATACTTTGAACACAGCAAAAGATATTAATTCTAGTCTCATCAACAAATGCAATTTAAATTTTCTTGCACTGGTAATTATTTTGTTTACATTTTAGGGTTTCACTTCCAGTGCAAGTTAAATTCCTTATCTTCATCTTTATGGCTAGAGGAATATCTTACTTGAGCCACATATATACTCAGTTTCTCCACAGAAGAGTTTTCTCTATTTCCTTTGTCAATGACAAGCAGATGTTGCAATAATGGAATAAACCAATGCTTTGTAGCGTAGTTCTGCATGTGGACAACTTACTTGAATACATGAATTTCAAATTCCCATATCTCTGATAGGTGTAGGCATGGAATCACCGTTGTAGAGTTTAGAGAGAGAGAGAGAGAATGTACCGTGTGTAAAAACTGTCAAAGTAGAAGTGAGATTAGGGCATTATTTGTGTGGGGTTTAAGGGGGGAAGGAACTGAAAGTGTACAAGAAGTGCATGGAATAATGTGAACCCCTTTTCCTATTCAGTACCTCACTGACATTCCATCAGACAAACAACTAAACTAACCCTTGAAAACACACTGATTGAGCTTTTCACAGCCGCATAAAGTCAGATACATCCCAACATTGATTCCCTTTTCATTTGGATTATTCTCATCACCTCAGATCTGTTGCATTTAGTAGTATCCCTTACACACAAATCCATTTGCTTCCCTTCTCTCTCTCACCTTTCTATCTACCTTTCTTCTAAATCCCTCCAAAATTTGCCACCTACTCCCCCTTAAAATATTGCCTATCATAATATGCTTTTGCATTTTAATAATCACAAAGAGAATATTATCCCCCTCACAGACTCACAGGCGCTAACTACGCAAGTTTTTGGTTTCTTCTTCAGTTTATGTGTGACAGACTTTGGTATACACGTACCAATGCTTTTTTGAAGGGTATACATATAAATATATCATTCAGTCAACATTCTAAAACTAATCTTCTTTCGAGATAGAGATATTAATACAGTATCTTGTAATAAAAAATTTAAAGAAATTTGATCGTATCAAGAAATTGATGTTATCATAGAGAGATTCTCAATGTATTGACCAAAATACTTATAAAATGTCTCTATTCTTTTATACGTACGGTAAGAAATTGAACTTTAGTAAGTATTCTTGAGAAACTTCTACCAAGTATACCAACTGTGTAAAGTCATGAATTACATGTAAACAGAAGTTAACTCCAATTCCCCTATAAACTCTAACCCTAGGTAGCCAAGTTTTGTTACATAAATTGCTGCAGGACACGAGACAAGCATTCTGGGAACTTCTTTGTGATGCTTACCTTAACTGGCAATTTGATGGAACACCCTTTTGACTTAAATGAGCATTTGTACCTAGCATGATCATTCAAACGTAGCTTTCACATGAACACAAATATATGGTGAAACCTTAGGCCAAACCCAGCATTTAAATTCCCTTGTAGGCTAAAGATTGAAGATGCCTTTAATGATTTGGATGAAGAGGGTGTGGCGTTTCCTATTATCGAATTAAGTGTTTGGTTATTTTGCATGTGATTGGGAAGAAAGAGAAGCGAGAGGCTTATACAATTAATATATAGATATATATTTATATAAGAGGGGGGCTCTTAAAGGCAGTTGGTGGGTTTCTGTCTTCTTTTGGGGTTGTGAGATGGGTAGGTCTGATATAAACAGAGAGTAATCAGTGAAGTTTTGGGATGCAGTGGCAGAAGTGCACATGGGAAGAAACTGTCGTTTCTCTATTCAATTCAAGGTGACATAGAATAGGACTGTAGAGTGAGTGTGTGAGTGAGTGAATTAAGGAGGGTAACGGGATATTGATATTCTTCTCAGGACCATGCGTGTAAATAATCCTGTCAAACAATTTTCTGTTCATTTCAGCACTAAATTACTGCATGATCTTATCAGTATTTGACAAATTGTTTTCACTTCAAATCATCTTTTGATGTTTCTTTATTAATAGGATGTTACATTTAATTTGAGGGGGAAGAACTAGAAAGGTCCAAAACATATATTATATGAAAGTGTCGGTGTTTCTTAGGTCTGAATCTCTGTAATGTATGATGAAAAGATCCTTGTAAGAAAGAGAAATGGGAGACGAGTGATTAAAGAATGACAAGTTTATTTTGATGGAGAAATTCCAGTGCATTGGGGGTTGGTATTGTCTAGGATTTTTGTTCTTTATAATTGCCATGACAACTAAGCTCTAGGGAGTATATTTGCGTTGGGGCAAGTTCCTATGATCACGAGCTCACTTACATTCCATGTAAATTACAATATCTTCTTCTTTCTCTTTCTCTTTCTCTCATATGTGACCCTGTTGCATTATAATTAAGTACGTTGTAATAATTTTTTATACATTAAGAAAATAATAAATGGAAAAATGAGAAGACTAATTTTATAAAATTATTATTTTTTATTTATAAATTTTACTGTTTATCATTAATATTGTTAAAATTTTAAATAAAAAGTTATTAATATTATAATAATAAGTAAAATAGCATATATTTTAAGGTTTATTTATTTTTATTTTGAGTCAGGAAGTGAGTAACTTTGATTTACATTATATTATTATATGGTTTCAATTGGATTTAATTTCTTAACTAAATTTAATGAAATTGTGAATAGAAAATTAATTGTTTTAATAGTTTATTTTTTTCTTACTTATTAAATATATAAGTTTTTGCATATTCATAAAAAATATATATATAATGTTAGATAAATTATGTTCTTCATGTGATAATTATTACAAATATATGTTTAACATAATTAAAAAAATTATCTTATCTTTATATATTATAAATTATTTTGTTAAGTTTTTAATCATATTAAAAAAATTATTAGTTTAATGCCATTAATATAATAAGAGTTGAAGTATTTAATTTTAAATATTAGGTAAAAAAATAAGATATTTTTTATTTAATTTAAAAATTAATGAGTCATGAGAAATTGTGTAATATCATTTTTTAAATTAATTAAAGAAATTAAAAGGCACGAATTTGGAAAATGGATTTCAAAATCAATTTGCCAAATATATATCTAAAGTATGAATCCAAGGTGCATAATATGTTGTAGATTCTTATATAAGAGATTCATTGTTGAATGTTTAATTAATTGGAACAGTTACACAAAGTTACTATAATTATCACCAAGATAATATATATATATATATATATATATATATATATATAAATGATTTTATTTAAATATAAATATGTTCATTAGACATTTTATTAAGATCTATTCATATAATCTTTGAATAATCTTTTTCTTGAATTTGAATATAAATAAAATTAATTGAAAATTATCTTCTATCTTTCACTCCTTCTATCACTTTTTTTCATTTTTTTCTCTCAAATATAAATAATAAATAATAAATATTAAGTGTCATTTTTTTCAACTTATTGACATTTAAGCAGTAGAGTTGACGTAAGTAATATCAAATTTTAAACTAAATTGTTTAATTTTTTTATATACTCATTTAAAAAAAAATCAGTGAATTCTCAAAACAAAATTAATCATATATAGAGGATATGGTATTTATTTAGGCTTTTAAAAATAAATTAAATACTAATATTTGTATAAAATTTTGATTTAAAATGTATCTAAATTACAATATAATATTGTATAGTTAGCCTAATAACTATTTTTCTTAAGCATGTGATTAGGATTTCAATTCTTATATTGATGCGTATAAAAACTTGTTAGACGAGATTAATCTTTTAATGGATCTTAGTACTTGAGAAATTAAGTAGTCCTTTTTGGCTAAAAATTATCATTAATTTTAAAAAAATGTATTTAAACTTTTATATAAAATACATGAAACTTGGATTTCAGCTTGTAATTAAATGTAACAGCCCAATACATGAAAGCCCAAAACTCATGGCAATAATACTGTTTCTCCTTGCAGCTCCGTAATTTCTTCTTACACCCTCAATTTACCCTATTTCCTTTCCAAGTGTTTTTTTTTATTTTTAAACCCTCTCGTCTAGTTTTTAAACTATAAAGTATTTTCATTGTTTCTTCAACTATTTTTATTAATAAAAGATTCGTTATTTCAAGAACACATTAAGAAGTTTAAACTGTTTTTAATTCCTATATTTTTTACCAAATATAATACCTCTAACATCAAAAGAGTGAGAGTCCAAAACAAGATTTTCCTATTTGATTTTTTAAAAAATACATTCTGAATTTTTAAATTAACTTTATAGAAACATATTTTGGATTTCTTGATTTATAACTTTGATGGTCTAAAATTATTTTCATAATACATCATCTAAAATATATTTTCAGAATACTCAATCTAAAAAGAGTTATCGAACAATTAATCCATAATGTATTTCTAGATTTGATATTCTGAAAATGTATTTCAATTATTCTAGAACTCATTAAAAGACTAGAAATATGTTTCAGATTTAACTATTGGTATATGTACATTTTTAATCCATATTTCATGAATATTTGAATATTCTGTAATAGGTATAAAATATAATAATTTTTAATCTTTATTGACGGAAAAAACTATCTTAAATGTGGAAGGACAACAAAATAAAGTTACAAAAGTTATCTTGACGGACTATTACAAGAAATATTAAAAATACTTGACGATCAAAATTTTATAAAATTACTGACGATAGGAATATGTCGATAATATTTTTATTATTTATAGTAAGATTTGAATTTAGTACTTTAGAATTAGACCTGATACTCTAACCACTAAGCTAGTAGAATTTTTTGATAATAATTTACAAATAAATTATATTTATATACAAATAAATGTATATTCATGTAAATATATAAATACGAATATATTTATATATTTATGTGTTTATGTATTTATATATTTATATATTTTGATATATTTATATATAATTAAATATTTATTTTTTAAAATTATTTAATTTAATAAATTATTATAAATTAATCTAATTATGATTAAATTAAATTATTAAATAAAAAATATTTAATTTTTTAATTAGGTGAATAATTAATTTATTATAATATAATTTTACCGACGAGATATATCCATTCGGTAATTAAATGCTAATTTGTCAATGAATTTACAGACGGAAATATCCAGTCGGTAATTAATTGTTAATTTGTCGATGGATTTCTTGACGGATTCTTGATGGATTTCTTGATGGATATATGTAAATAATTATTATTTTACCGACGGATATATACGTCGGTAAGACTAAATTTTATAAATATTTTATATCCGTCAATAGTTTTTGTTGGTAATAACTCATTTTTCGATTATTACAAATCTGTCGATAAAAATCCGTAAAAAATATGTAATTTTCTTGTAATGGAGAGAAGAGAATAGACATGGAGGTGCAGAAGAATAACAAATTGAAAGAAATTTTAGAGTTTTATATTTTAATTATTTTACATATATTATGGAATACACGAAGAAAGAAACTATGGGATAGAGGAAGAATAGAAGAAGAATCTCTTGTATTTCAACCTAAGCTCGATGGACATTTAGCGAGTTTTAAAGATCCTTATAATTTGACACCTTATGTGAACATTAACCACCAATCTCAGAATACAATGTAATCCAAAATTGAGATAAGTTTTTTTTTTTTCTCTAAATTTAAAACTAAATTTTTAGTCTTTGTAATTTAAAAGAAAATTTATTTTAAGTTTCCGTTCTATAGTACCTTCAAAGATTTTGCTTATATCTATACTAGTTAAGTTTTTTTTTTTTCAAATCTACTTCCATATAATATTTTTATTATTGAATATCAATAGTTCTTTTCTAAAAGTACACGTATTTTGTTTTTATTTTGGTTATGTATTGAACAAAAGATTAAATACTCATTTAAAATAGTATATATTAAAATGATAATATAATATTAACATTTTCAGCTAAAAACATAAAAAAAACTCTTAAAGATTTATAAAATAAATATTGTTAGTCTATACTAAAATGAGTACTATAAATTTAAAAAATAAATAAATATTTTATGAATTAAAAACAGCGTATAGGTTTTTAGAAAAATAAAAATATAAAATACTAACTCTTATGGAAATTAGAAACAGTTATTTCAAATTCTATAAAAATAAAAGATTAAACTCACTAATTTTACAATAACTAAACATATAAGTATTTACTCTCATCATCTTGTTAGTTGTGGTAAAATAATATTTATCTTTTTATTAAATTTATGTATTTAAAAACATTATTAATTTTTTTTCGTAATAATATTTTGACAATTTATTTTTCATGCATAATCATTAGACAATTTTGTTATAATAATATAATAATAAAAATATAACATAAAAAGTATAATTGTCATTATTATAGTAAAAAAATACCATTATTGTGGTTGTCCAAATATCATTAAATCATCACAAAAATGAATGGTATACGTCCAATCCAACCCCTTATATAACAAAACAAATAAACATAGCAATAATCATTACATATATGACCAAACCTACTTTGCTAAATTTCCTCCATCATTCAATAATTGCACATGGGAAGCAAGTAACTTCTTAGAAACTTCATTATTTATAAAATCATTTTTTTATCAAACTTTATTTATCTCTCTTCCATAACCCCTTTCGACAACAAATAAGATACAAAGTATCCATATTTTTCACTCTCTATGCTAACTTCTAACCCATTAATTAGTAGCACATATTTGTTAACACTAGCTAGCAATTATTCAAAAATATAAATAAATTAAAGAATCAAATTAATTAAAAGCTAAACATTTCCATGCATGTTCTCCCCTTACTCTACATTTCAAACTTCATCCTTCACCATATCTCAGTTTGCTACTTATATTATTGTCAAACAAATTAAAATCATACTTCTTAATTCAAGACTAGTTGGATATTTTAAGTGATCTTGAATCGTGTAATAATTTTAGGGTTTTGTGTGATCTAGGACCAGCAATAATTTCTCTTGTTTTTTTTATTTCGTGTTCTCTCACACCAATATATGCAACTCAAACCCACCAACACCTCCACAATGGCGGCTTCCGCCTTCTCCAAGTCGGAGTAATGCAGCGTCTGCAGCAGCAGCGCCGTCGTCTTCGCCTCAAACTTCGCCGTCTCCATGCTCCTCTCCGCCTGCCACCGCACTGTGTCATGCGCCACTGGCGATAGCCACTCCAGGAGCTCCTCCACCGCGTCCCGCCACCCTTCCGCCAGCGCCTCCTCCTCCTCTTCCCTCCGCCACCTCCCCTTCAGCTTCGCCGCCACCTTTCGTCTCACTCTCTCCGGCAACATCCCGTAAAACGCCTCCCGCGCGTCCTCCCCCACAATCGCCGGCGCGTGCAGCCACTGCTCCGCAAGCAAAACCACCTCTGCGTACCTCGCCGCAAGCCCCGCCCCACCCACCGTCGACGGCGGCGCCAGCCGCAAAACCCTATTGTTAACGCCATTCGTTGGCCTATCAAATTCACGGTTCAAGAAACGAATTACACCGGTTTTGTTGCTATTAGCCTTTGGAATTGGACCCGATCTTGAGACACGCTTGTGAAGTGATTCCTCGTACAGACAATAATTCTTCTTGTACAACTCACGGTGTTCCAAGAGACAGCAACAATTATTGTTTTCATTGTCACCATCACCATTTATATTATAGCAGCTGCAGTTAGCAATGTACCCTCCAAAAACAGAACAAATTCTAGCGTAGACAATGCAAACTACCTTAGCCATGATTCCAACGGTTTTGTCCAATGTTTGATTCCATAACGAAACTTCCTTATAATGCTGCACTTGTTTTCTACAACATGCTATCTCCTCATTCAAGTAATCCAAGTTTTGTTTCGACCAGTTGTTATAATCATTAGTCTTCAATCTTTGTCTCTTCTTCTCTGAATTTTCTAGTACCGCCATGGATTCCATGGCCATGTAGAGATTCCTGGTAGAAGAAACAAGTTTCTCCATTTTGGAGATGATCTTAAGACTGTTACGCGAACCATAACCTAACTTCCGGAGATCGATAAGGCCGAGCTTTAGATCGGCATAAACAAGGTCAAAGCTTCCGAGGCTGCGGTCGAAGCATTTCCGGCCGAGCCGAGAGACGCTGTCGGCAACCGTGTCAAGCTCTTCCAGGCGCTCCGCGGCGGCCAGGTTGAGGAGGAAGCATTCATGTTGGGAATTCAAGTAGGTTATACCTTTCGACTTGATCACCTCGCGGTTGAGCTTGGCGATTTCTTCGTCGGAGAGAGAGTGGTAGAGGGAGATGAGGCGGCACATGGTTTTTCCAGCGTCAAAGGAGATGATGCCGAGAGCCTTTGCCCCCGGAACCACCGCCTTGTGACGCCATGCCATGGTGGCAACGACCATGATCACCACCACTAGCTTAGTTTTTTTTTTTTTTTTCCTCTCTTTCTCACTGTTTTCTTTCCTTTGGTCTTGTTGACTAATTGGGTGTGTATGAACTTTTGATTTTTTTTTTCAAGTTTGAGAATTTTAGAACAAAAGGGTTGATATTTATATAGGGTGTGGTGGAAGCATGTTCGAAGGATCTTATGTTTTTAATATTTCATCGGACCACGCGTTTGGACAGTGGGGACTAAGGTTTCATTATCATCAGGATAATTAATTAATTAATTTTAATTAATGGAAAAAATAAACCTACATAAAACATTACTAAAATTGCTTTAAAAAAATATTTTATTAAATATTAAATAATATAAGTCACATCATCAGATATTTTTGAGGTGTTTTTTATTATTAATTGGGTATGTGTTACTGTGCACACTGTTCTTATAAACATAAATTCTCATCAATTAATTAACTAATTAAGGAGGTTTTTGGATATATTGATGCTTTAATTATGGTTTGTACAGTCAAATGCAATAATATCATATTACAGTTTGTTATTTGTTCCCAAGTCAATTCTTCTGACAGACTACACAAATATTTTATATGTTTCTTTTTTTTTTTTTTTTTTGGTTCCATTTTGTTTAATTAGATGGGGTAAGGGTTGAAAAAAGGTTATATTTTTTATTTGTTAATATGGCTCAATCATAAGACATGTACACATTACAGATAGTGAAGTTTATACGCGTTGAGTGATTAATGTTATGTAGTCACGTAACATAAGAGACCTAGTTGGTCGTAGAAGTACATGAATCAAAGTTGAATGTCGATTATTATTTTTTTAATGAAAAAAAATAGTTATATGTGTAAAAGAGTTAAAAATTCGTAAATTAGATGCAATTGAAAGGTTTAATTTTTTACTTGACCTATTTACAAACTTGAATTAGGTTAAGATTGAATTAGAAAAGAGAGTTGAGATGAAACTGAAGTTAAACTACAAAACATGAGATGAACTAGGTTTACTACGACTATACTCGTTTTCAGCATTCGTTTTTATGACAATTTATGTATCATTGATTTGGTGATTATAATTCATTTTAACATGGATGAACCATCAAATTTTATCTTTAAGTAGTGTTTCCATATTATTAGGAAAGAATATAACATTAATAAAATATTGTTGACTTTGACATGACATTTTTTTGTCATTTTGAAAAAAAATAAATTACTAAAACTAGTTATTAAACTATTTATTTTGTATAAAATGATATATTTATACGAAAATATATGTTGAGATAATGATAGGTTTACGTGTTGATTTTGAACTTTTTTTCAAGCATAAATTATTTTATTTAAAGTAAAAAAGATTATATAAACATCGTAATACTTCAAATAAACAGTATAACACTGGTACTTGTTTGTTTGTACGGGAAATATAAAGTAAAAGGTGATTAATGCAAGAAAGTAGGGAAAAGCAACAATATTCTTTGTTTGGTAAGGAAAGTAAAAAAAATAAAAAAATTGTCACTTTTGATGAAGATATATGCGTTCTTCTTATGTACGAACATAAAGAAGTTGAAAATGCTAGAAAAACGTTGTGTTTACAAAGTTATTCTCACATATTAGTAAATATTTTAACAACTTCAAAATAATTTAATAAGTAATTTTATAATTATATAAATATTCAATTCTAATTAAATAACACATATTTTTCATTTTATTCATTTTTTTCTTTATTTTTTTATTACTAGACGGGTATATGATATATTTTATCATATTACTAAAACCAAAAGTGAAAAAACGAAAAAAAAATGTTATTACTTAATAAAAACAGAACTGTTTTTCAGATCACATGTTCTCATATTTTCATATTTGAAACGTGCAAATCAATGAAAATTTATTATTATTATTATTATTATTTTCTCACAATTAAATTGAAGTTAAAATATTTAAAGTAAAAGTTAAATATAACATTGTGTTACGTGACTAATTTAAAGATAATTTTTTTTATACGAAGGAATATAATAAAATTTTATTATGATTAAATAATATATAGTCGAAATTTAAAAAATAGATTAAGTTACACATTTTTTATTTTTTATTTTTTTTATTTTATTTTAAAGTTAAAAATCTCTTATAAGTATGTCCTCAAATAGAGTTGACTTATTTTGGGAGTTTTTAGATGAAAAGAGATAATATCATTAACATTTCGTTAATTTCTAATCTTCTATTTCAAATATGTTGAATGGTGGTGAATTTGGTCAAACTCATGTTCTTTATTTATAAAACACCCTGAAATTCACGTTAAAAAAAAAAAAGACCATTCATGAATTCAGATGGCTTCTAAGGATTAAGCTGGCATGGAAGACCACACTGTAGAAACAGAGACATACGCGTGGCCAAAAAGCATCAAGCACAAGAGAGAAAGAAGAAAAAAACATTAAATACGTTTTAAATAAACTTTCATTTCCAACATTAAAAAAAAAAATTGGGACAACTACTTCTCCACAATTTGGTAAAATATTTTTCATGTTTAGTTTTTGAATTTTTGAAAGAGGTCATTGATCATATTTAATCATGTTTGTTTCATTTTACATATTATTAACCTCGTTTATCTTACATCGTCAAATGAAAATAAAGTTGTTAATTAATGATTCTGTTAATATTTTTTACTCAAAATTATATTTTTTTATGATGTCTTCTACATTCTTTATTTCAAATTCTATTTGATATGTACTACAAAATTAATTTCGTTTTAATTAATAATCTTAATATTAAAAATATTGAGATACTTAAATCAATTTTATATATTATAATATCTATAATTTTAATTAGCATTCAACATTAGTTTAATAAAGTATGATATCATCTTAAATAATTAAGTTACAATTCTTATTGAACTTTAAAAAACTTTATTAATGAACTGAGATTTGTTCCCATCATTATACTTTGAATTTAATTCTTATTTAAATGACGAATTTAGGTTGCTGAATGTGTTGATTTAGTGATTGAACAAAAATGAAAATTCATATTTAGACAGTATAGTGCAATAATCATTAAGTTTAACTAAATATTAGTTGTAATTAAATTATAATTGCTCCTACATAAATTAAAATTTGAAGAGCCAATTAACATTAAATCATAACCTATTTTGTTATTAAGTTACAATATAATATTAATAGATTAATTCATAATTTTTATATATTTAGAACTAAAAAATACGGAAAGAAAAGAAAAAAAAATAAAGAAAAAAATGAAATAAAGTGAATTTTTTATTATTATTTAAGAGAAAAGTGACATAAAAAATATTGATTTTAAATAATAATAATAATAATAAATAATTAAATTAAAATTAAATATTTATTCAATTACAAATACCTATATAGTTATTTAAAATAATACATTTAAATTATGCATTTATTTTTTTAATAATATATATTTTAATACAAATATTTTAATTATAAAATTATTTTTTCTAAAATTATTTAAAATTAAATTAATAAAATAACATTATATTAAAAATAAATAAATAAATATTAAATTATTTATTTAATTTTTATAACCATTAATTTATTAAAATAATAATTAAAAGTATATATATATATATATTAAAATTATAAAGATAAAAATGAATAATAATTTATTCAACTGATGATAATTTTATAAAATTATATTTTTTTATAATTTTCTACTTTTTTCCTAATAATAAAAAAATAATGTTAGTTATAATAAAAAAAAGTGATATTTTTTTGTTATTTTTTTATTATAAAAAAGTATATTATTTTTTATTTATTTTCTCTCATGTATATTTTTTACATTAAACTTTCTCACTAGACAAACTGAGGTAAGTTACCTTTTCCATTCCCTCAAGAATTAAATTAAAAGCTAATGACGTATTCAAATACCTGACTCATCATTTACACTTAACTATATTATTGATGAGAACGAGATACATAACCTAAAACGGTTTCGTGACAGTGTCGTGTGAACACTATGTTTTCTATCATAAATTATGGATAACATTGAATTGAATCCAACGAAAACTTAGTATAAAAATTGATTATTAAAGTGTTTAGGTTTTGGCGTGTGGAACTTGGTTTGGGAAGGAATGTGGGAGGAAAAAGGGTGATTGAGTAGTGCCCCATGAAAGAACAACGTTGCACTGTCACCGTACTGCACAGGGTGAGAACACGATCTGTGACTTGACTACACCACTCAGGATCTTAATTATTTTAATATAAAGAACAACATTCCAACCACAAAAACACCCATTTTGGAGCCTTTATCGCTTTTCATGTTGTTTCATCAATACATCTCGCTAAATATTTTGCAATTATTAAAATATTTCGTTTAGCAACATTCGATTTTTGTATTCATTATTATGCATAATAATATACGTTTTGGAAGTATAGTATACGAAGAAAGATGATTGAGAGAAGATCATGTTAACTTGTAAGTGTAAAACTCACGAATTTTCAAGAATAAAAAATTAGGAATGACAAATTGAATAAATTCATCCTATTTTTGTTCACTTACTTTTAAGCCAAAAAAAAATTAAAATGAAGTATAATGGTCAGTATAATTATAACGAGTTATATGATCAAAAGTATATAAAGGTAGAATCACATTTTGTTGGAACTAGAATTCACTTCATATTGCAGCCGTGAAGATATTGAAATCGTAACTACGCCAATGCCATTTAGAATTAAGTTCAATATCTCTTTGTTTGTTTCTCCATTGATTTTGAAAAAAAAAATTTATAAAATATATTTTAAATTAGACAAGTTTATAATACATTATTCTGGCTGATAAAGAAAAAAAAATTAATAATAATTGCATAAATATCACAAAAGGGTAAAAAAACAAGAAGAAATTGGACAATAATTATATAAATGTCAGTGAAGATATTTATATTGTAAATTAGACAAATACAAATTCATAATACATTATTATTATTCTGGCTGATAAAGTGGACAATAATTGCATAAATATCACAAAAGGATATT